CAGCCGCGTGGACTCATCACCTTGGTCGAGAGTTTCAGGGGAAAAAGGAACTGTCGCTTCTGTATCTTCCTTTCTATGCCTCCGTTAAATCGTCAGACAGTTCCCGACGTAGCAGTTCCTTCGTGACACATATTTTTGCCTAACACGAGTCTGCAAGAAGAAATAAATGTCAGCGCAACTTTATCCATGATGAGAATTATACCACCAGGGACGTATACGAAATATTTAAAAGCTTTTTTTAAGACTTTGTTTCATATTAATGTATATGATTTATGTTTAATTATTATAAAAATTCTAGCGATTTATTGTATATATATATATTCAATAGCCAATCTTATGATTAGAACATCTCAGTGAATCATGAAGTGATGTATATAGAGCATCCTAGCATCTTATATTCTTTCGTATCGTTTTACGATATTGACTTTAAATTGGTACCGAGATTCTGCCGCTTAGCCCAGATACATGAAGAAGTGATAATCAAAGATTTACCGCTTAGTCGTGTGTTCGCAAGGTTATCTACGTTAAAAGCCATGTGTTGAACCTTCATATAATATAATAGCAAAGTATGTTTTTTATATTTATCCCTTAGTAATACCTTTTATATTTTTTACTATAAATCAAGAAAAATTATTTTTATTTTATTATTATAAATATATAATACCATCAAGCCAAACATAAGCTAAACTTCCGTTTGAATAATGATTATAAATATAAACTCATGGACTAAATTAAATTTAAGACAACGTAAAAAAAAGAGTTGCCCGAGTATCAAAATTTGGACATTACAGAAGAAAGGCGCAAATTTTATTTAAAGGACAGAAGAAATTATGAAAAAACCTGATATATAAATCATAGAATTTCGAAATCGCAAAAATCATAAGGGGGAAAGTATTACTAATCATGTAATTACGTGAATATACGAGTAACGGGCAATTCTATTTTCAATCATCACCAGAAAGGCAGAATTACCTCCGTAAAATAGACATGGCACGAGAACGTAACGCTAATACCAGATCGGGCACCACGTTTATCCGGGCGCTTCGTTTAGTCGTAAAGGTAAAGGTTTTGCGGCGTATTGGTTGCAGATTCGTAGAAGCCGCGCGGCGCATTCGCGCGCATTTATACGTGCGTGCAACTTAGAGAGCGGCATTAAGTAATTATCATAAGCGTCGGCTTAAGTACGGTACAGACAGGCTGTCCATCACGCGAGTCCACGTCCTCGCTCTCGGCGATCATACATAGTAACGACTCACTCGTCCGTGACTTACAGGCGAGAACGATTATTTCTGCTTACGCTCGCGCGCGGAGGCGTGAAGAAACGCAGACAGACAGACCATCGGCAAGAACATGATCATGCGAGTTATTCGCGGCAATTAGGCCCGGATTAGACTCTAGGTGGAAAACGTGGAGATTTTTACTCGTAATGACAAATTTCTCGATAAACGCGTTTTTTCCCCCGCGTTTCGCGACTTTTTGTTCTTGTCACTTTTGACAAGAGAAAAAGAAAAAGATGAAATCTATTAAGTATCCCTTTTGTTGCCGATTCGTTTATGTGAATAGCCTTCCTATGTCTATAAAAATTCGCCTCACTATCAAACGATATGTTATTCGGTGAAAGGACAGACGTACAAAAAAGATGGGTGAATTGTTGACGAGAATATACAGAAATAATAAAATGACAGAAATAATAAAAATTACGAGCAATTTATATACATTTGCATAAAAATTGGATTTTAAATAAATTTGAGAACGTTTCAAGACACATTTCAATATACTATGGAGCAATATAATTGCTCGATGGTAAAACAAACTAAACGAAGGACGCGAGCAATATGCAATAGTGCAATTTCGAGCTTCGGGCGAAACGCGCAATCGCATCCTCTCGGCGATGCAGCTGAACATTCCGAGCGTAATTGCCTCGGATTTTGCTGGCTAACGATAAACCGCCTCGCCTTCTGCTCGGTAAATAATGACGCTCCTTTCCTCGTTACCGCTGAAACATTGAGAAGCGGATTAGCATCGTCTGCCTTTAGATCGAAAAGAATCTCGTCTTTAAAGTGAAAATTTCTTCTCTCTAATAAATATTTTTCAACATCATCGCAGAAAGCATTTTACTAAAAAGCAAACAAATTATACATGTATAATCTCTTATTATATAATGCAGTAAAAGTTATGCTTTTGATTCTCTTTCATTTGATTATGTAAGGTTCACCGTAATACTTATTGCATTCGATAATAATAAAATAAATAGCAAAATTAAAAAATTGCCGACAAAATGCTTTTTTTCAAATGTTCTATGAATTTTAGAAATATTTAAAAAAATTACATACGATAAATGATTATATCAGTTTGTTTATTACTGTCATCTTTCTGATGCTCAGTTTTTCTTTCTTTATTCTTTTTTCAGCAGCATGAAGAAATACATATAATTGTAATTGATTAATTTCATTTTTTTTATCTTTATAAAAGAGTAAAGTCGACATTATACAACATTAAAATATTCCTTGCATAATTGCACTTCGAATCTTATCGCATATTAATGACAGAATATCTGCGATTATATTCTGCGATTTCTCTCTTTTATTAACGAACAATCTGTCAAATATATAGCTTCGTATCAAAATGCCATTAAAATCATTGCATGAAATCAATTGCAATGGCACATACACTTAATTCGACTTTATCAATTTCGCTTCTCGTCTTGCTATACACATACACAATTCATCTATAGACATAGGAAATATAGATTGCTCCTATTTACACCATAAATAGAAAAATTGCTCCGAATAAAACAGAATAGAATTACTTAAAGAAGCTCGTTTTTCCTTTTTGTTCTTTTCACTTTTGACAAGAGAAAAAGAAAAAGATGAAATCCATTAAGTATCCCTTTCGTTGCTGATTCGTTTGTGTGAATGGCCTTCCTATGTCTATAAAAATTCGCCTCACTATCAAACGATATGTTATTCGGTGAAAGGACAGACGTACAAATATTACCATATATTTATCAAGTTTATCATTTGAGAGGAGAGAAATGCATTTGCCATGCTTTTCTCATCACTTTGTTCTTATTATTAGTAGGTGCGAAAGCGATACAGCCGACACAGGTCGCTTTCTTTCCCTTATCGCATGGAGATAAATGGATTTGTTGACGCAGATTGATGTGCAAACGTTTAATCATGCTTAAAATTTGTTGCGCGTCCGCCAACATTTACGTAGCAGGTGATAACGATAATTTTTGTGAAGAATTTGTAAAGCCAATATTATATTATACGATGATTATAGATATTATATTATATTGTACGATAATTTAGATTTAATTAATTTTAGTAACCATAATGTTTCCATTTAAAGATTTGACCGATTGTGTAACCGATTGTGTATTTTAGCATTGCTGAAACATTCGATTTTTCAAAAAATTATTATTTAAAAAAAATCTTTTTATATAATCACCATCTTTTCTAAGACTAAAATTTCTGTTACCGGTAACTTTTAATATAGAAAATCTACATTTTTTAAAATTAAATTATCAAATCAAAGTATTCGGTACCTATGTATTGTTATGTACGAAAACAAATTTATCATAAATTATAAAAATTCTACAACACTAAGCTAACAATAGAAGAAATTTCCCAATGTGGACGACATCGCACATCAGAGTCCTTTAGGATTCAAGGCGGGAGGGGGAAAACTTGGCTGGTAGTTCCATAGCTACGCTGTCCCGCATTCCGCGATGCGTTCCCACACATATGCACACCTCCACCTCTCGATTCACGCATTCCCGAGGAAAGAGATGTGACCGGCCAGGCGCAACGCGCCAGAAGAGGTAGAAACTACTGGGGCCATAGAGTGAGGGAAGAGCTGAATGAAAAAAAAAGAGGAAAAAAAGGTAGAGGAACCGGGTGAGCGCGGTGGACAAGGAGGGTGGAAGGGAGACAAAACGGACGATGGAGGAGTAGGGAACCACGATACACAGACTCCTTGCGCGAGAAATGCAGGGGTTCTTAGTGGGGGTTTGAACGGGCGTAGTCTTGATAAAACCCGCCTACTATTTCCCCTTGAGAGCCACGTGCTCGCCTGTCAGACAGACTCTGTCTGTCAGAAACTGACTGGTCTCGCAAACGTGAGAATGAGAGCGATGATGATATAGTTCTTATGTCATTGATAGTCACTGATGATTCTGTCGTGAAGAGAAATCATCATCTGGGCTAGTTATCATCATTAAAATTCAATTTGTATAAATTTTTAATTTAGGAAGTATAAATAATTAAATTAGAGAAATCTCACATACTATTTTCTACAACAATATAACATAATATTTTTTTATCGATACAATTTGTAGTATCGAACTTGATAGAATCGTGGCAAAAGTCATACTTTATATTCCACCTCATAGAAATATTTCTTGATGATGAAAGTTGATTCAACACTCTAGAACGCCTCTTTCAAATATCGCGAAGAGTAGATGAAAGCATGCATCCCGAGAGAGAAGGAGGAGAAGAAAGAGAAACATTTTAGCGAATGCTGAGCAAAGTTGAAGCAATGATGACGTTGACGAGGGAAAGAAGGAAGCAGATGACACCGGGAGGGAAGAAGCCGAAGAGATCGTAACGCACGTTGGTGAAGGAAGAGTAGAGGTAGAGAGGCCGAACCGACAGAGGCGGAGCAAGATTTAATCTTGGTCTTGGGGGGGTCCAGCAGTCTCCACGCTTCAGGGGGGAAGGGAGAGCGTTCCATTCTCTCTCTGAGGAGAGATCTTCCGTCGAGGAGCGCATGCAGTCGCTAGCCGAGGTCTATACTTGTCCGTCGAAGGGTATTGGTTCTCCAACTCGTTGCACCATACCCCCCAAGCAGCGCGAAACGAACGGACGAACGGAGAGAGAAAGAGAGAGATAGAAAGAGGGAGAAGGATCGCAAACGAAAAAGACGTAAAGAGAAAAAAGAAAGACAGAGAGAAAGAGAGAGAGAGAGAGAGAGAGAGAGAGAGAGAGAGAGGGAGACGGAAGGAATAAATAGGTGAGGAGAAAGAGAGAGCTCGAAAGAGAAAAGGGCAAATAGAGGACATCTCTCTCCCCTGACATTGTCGTACTCCGACACGAGCACGCGTGCACGCACGCTCGCGGCAGGCACGCATGCACGCGCGCGCACCATCGTCGCCACCGCCACCATCGTCGCCGCCACACGTTACCACTCGGAGAACCTCCCCGTCAAGGAAGCAGAGAGTTGGCACGTACGGCCGACGGATGAACGGGACGGAACGGAAGGAGCAGAGCGCGGCACGCGTAACCTCTCCCAAGAGAGATTAGGCGAGAATCATTCGGATCTACGGTGGCGTTTCCGAATCCATGATTCTTCTTACTTGACCCGACCTGACCCGATCCTCAATCGTCAAACAGCTAGCAGCCGGCGTATACCACCGAGGGGGTTGGCAGGTATAAAACATTCTCGGGCCATTTTGTGCTCGTCCGTTTCTCTCTCCCACCACGCTAATCGTCCGCTCGCACGCTCTCGAAGGGTGACACCCACCCTTCGATGAGAACCCTTCGGGGAGGGTGAAATTTCCCTGGCCGGTTCACACCGAGCGGCAGTCGCATTCAGCAACCAGTCAGAAGCTTAAGCGTCGTAGTGTTTGCCAGAACTAATCGACACGTTGACAAGACTCGCAAGACGCGCTCTCGGTCCGACGATAGACAAAACGGACACCAAGTTCTTCAGGTCAGTGCACAGAAGTGTTTGCGGAGAGGAGGACGGTGCATATCCTCGTGCGATAACGCCGATCAATTTCGATACGGTTCGCCGAACGTCGATTCCAAGGGAGTGACGTGGTGGATCGCGGCGATCGTAATCCCGACACCCCGGAAGGATCGCGGTGTTAAGGACGATCTTATCGGACGATTAGCATCGGGATCGTGAGCGCGCGATTCCGTGAGTGCGGTTCGCAAGTTCGACGAAGGTTCGAGTATCCCGCGAGATGTTCGTTCAGTGAATACAATTGGTGCACGGTGCTTGCTCCCGATCGCGGTGAGATAAGGACGAGCGGAGCATTTTTTTACGCGTTGGATACACTCGTAAGGATCGAGACGCGCGAGACATACGCTGGAAGATGAGGCTCTGGATGTTGCTAGCTGTGCTCTCGGTGACGGCGTACGTGTCGTTGGCGGAGATCACCAAAAATAAGAATCGCGGCAGGGGATCCATGTGGTGGTGAGTATCGAAGACGAACCCGGACTTTCGCTTTAATACAGTATACTTGAAATTCTGTCGTCCTGTTCCTCCGTTCGCTTGTAAACAACACGTCGCGTCGTAAAATTTTTTATCGCGGATACACTAAGCGTGTGAAGGTTCTCGAAATAAATTATAGTTGCACTATGCAGTTGAGACTTGTTGACACAATCATTGGTTAAGTTTGAATATAATCGAAGGAGCTTGAAAGAAATGGAAATATTTCTCGAAATTGCATTTTTTTCATAACGTACAATTTTTTAGCTATTTCTTGTTTTATTCGTACATAAAATATCAATAAATAATAAAATTAAAAAGTTATACGTAATATGATGAAATACAATTTTTGGAGAAAATGACAGATACTTTTTTCGACGAAAGATCTCATTCATCTTTTTAAATTTCTTGCCAGTTATTCCTTTATATTTTAATGATAATTAAAGCTAATAAATATGATCAAATTTATATTTGAGAAAATATATATGTATGAGATATGTGTGAGAATAAACTTGATAAAAAAGCACGTGTATAATTTATAGTTTTAATATTCAATACACATAGTACTAGGAAATTTTCAATAATTGTCGCTTTATTGCTCCGATTACCGATCTTATAAAAACTCTTTTCCGGCTATAAACGATGATATCATAACTAACAATTCAAGCGTTAATTGAGATTGCAATCGCTGAATCATCGAAAATAAAAATCGTGCCGGCAGAATCTGTTCCACATGGACCTGCCCTTGATCTTTGACGAGTTTATACCGTGAAGATCGGAAATCTCTATCGTTTTTATTTTTCACCGATTCTTGTTTTGCAATTGCCAAGTTACTCTTTTGTCAAGAAGAATTCTCGAGAATTTTTTTCTAATTTTTCAGAGCAATGATTTCTTTAAGATTTTAAATATTATATTAATAAATACTAATAACTCTCTCAATTCTTGCCGGTTGAGAGACAAACTAAAAATAAATGAGATACTTAGTTTAAAAAATCTGAAAACCTTCAAAGCTGAAAACATCAATTGATGAGGAAATTTTATGTGTCTGCTATATTAAAAAAATTTGATATATTTTCCTGAAAACATAATCAAAATAACATATAAATTCCCCTCTTATATTCTCACCATCTTTTCTATGCGCATTCAACGTATAATTAACATCTCACAGAGAAATTACACTTACTAGTGCCTATATACAGAAACACATCATGAATAAATGTCTCACGAAATCATCGCATCTTTTTTCTCTCAATGTCGGACGGCGTTTCTTCTAATTAAAATGTTACCACCACTTGAATCGAATCGACGATCTACGTGCGTTAATTACTCCGCCTCGCTCTCATGCGAGCGCACGCATTAACACCTGTCTGCCCCGACATTTGTCGGGCTAATCGCGGGAGCGACGCCGTCCGTATCGTTATTAATTCATTAATCATAATTCTAACTCCGCTCGTTTCGATTCGCGTTTCTTGCGCGCGATGTGTGTTAGATAATGACTAACTTCATTAGCCCGATCGTAAATAAAATTCGCGCGCGATCGAGCGTTCACGCGCTCATATATTGTCCCGCGAGATACAGCCGCGGCGAATATTCACCTATAACGATAAATTGCCGGCGATAAATCAACCAGTCTCGTCCAGTTTCTCGCGCGACAGTTTGGCAGGGATGGTTATTGCTACTAAATTAATTAAATCGACGCAAGCCGCGCGTTCCTCCTGATTCCACGAGCCGGCTTAGATTATGACGTATAAATTAGTTGCCGCAATTGAAAAGGAACAAAATATGTTCTTCGTTGTGGATGCACGTCGCGTGAAATCTATCCTTTAATTGAGTATATTTTTGAGAGAAGTCTAAAATAAACAAGACAACATGTTGTTAATGATTTATTAGCAGCGACTCAAAACAGATGTTAAAATCTTTTTAAACATTTAAACATACCTTTAAATCCCTTTAAATAGATATCTTTACGAAAGGATATATTCTGGACACTGAGGATATTTTTCACTGAAGATATTTTTTGTTAATGATTTATTAGCAGCGACTCAAAACAGATGTTAAAATCTTTTTGAACATTTAAACATACCTTTAAATCCCTTTAAATAGGTATCTTTACGAAAGGATATATTCTGGACACAGAAGATATTTTTCACTGAAGATATTTTTACCTGAAGATATTTTTCACAATGTACGTGTCTAGGAATACCCTTGACTAAATTAAAATAAATCTATTTTAGAAAAGGAATATTTTAAAGTCATCAGCATTGATGTGTAATTGATGTGAACTTTACATAAGCTTTATAAATTAACTTAGCAATATGACATTACTTTTGCAATTAATTTTATCTAAAAATTGTCAAGCGAAATAGATTATTTCATACATCAGTATTGGAAAATTATTCAAATAAAAAAAGAAAAATTTCAAAATCCTAAAGAACAAGTAAAGTTTTTTCTCGTAAGTTTTTCTATTTAATGAAGAGTGATGTATTTGGCTCAATAAATTAATAGTCTTATTTTCTACATCAACCATATATGTCTTGATTATAAATACAATAAATTAAAAGGCTAATATATTAATAAATCAATAAATAATAGAAAACAAGTAGACACAGATAAACAAGCCTAAGAAATGTACATTTAAACAATTAGTATCGGAATTTAAATAATAAAACTAAAATAGATTAATTATATTAAAAGGAAAACGCAGAGAGAAAGTCGTGAATCTATTATCTGTATGATTCATCGCCGATCGTAACATGTCGGAATCGATCGATTGACAGGTACAACCGGCGATTGCCGAGACCGGTAGACCGGTCCAAGAGTCGATACGCACTGATCCAACGCATGTTATCGCACGACCTGGGTGGCCGCATCTGGGGTGGACGTTAATAATGACAATTAATTATGTGGACACGAATAAAAATTATTTGCAACATAAAAGACCTTATAGATTTTGCAATATTTAATTTTGTAATTACTTTTGCTACACACATAGTCAATTAAATCTCGTATATTTTTCTATCTTCGCGAAAAAGTGCTTGAACTTCGAATTATTGCCATTGCTCCATGTGATTTTTATCAAACAGAATCGATATTATTATTCCATGAAATCATCTGGTATTTTCGAAATAAAAAAATTTTCCTGAATTAAAGTTTATAAATTTTTGAAAACATCCTCTGTAAAATATTAACAACCGAAAGTTTTTCATTGTAAAACAAGGCGCACTTGCAAAAGCAAAGCAATTTGGCTTTCAGGATATGCAAGTTTTGGAGTAAACAAAAAATCTATTTCATTATAAATCTATACGTAAGATGCTGATGTGATCCGTTCTTTCAAATACATTATTGGCTATAATTTTAAATACGCTCGGTTTCTCTCAACTGATATTATATATTATCCATCATTGGGGCAAGAATGAAGTTGTTTATAGATGCTCCGTTATCATTGAACAAGATAACATGTCACATGCAACATTCTACACAAACGGGATGTCGGCTGCATCGCCATTAATCACTCGTGTTTCGAATTTCAGATGAACATCTTTCCGCATGTTCACCGCGATCGCGATTCTAACGATCGCTACAATTTTGTACCTGTCGCTTTCGTCGCGAACCGGTAATCTCAAGTGTGGTCGATTTATCAACATAAGAACGATTCTCGGGGATGAGAATCAGGAGCGAGATGTACGCAACAGTGACAGTCATGCTTCTCCTACGACGAGAAATCGGTCGATCGAATGAAAAAGACGTCGACAAGCTCTCTGTCTGATTCATGACATCTCGTGACCTGATTCGCGACCAACGTTGCTGTTCTAGATATGGACGGAGTCACGTTAGAAATGACATACGTCGGAATACGTCGCTCTGCCACGGGAAAGGAACGCTTATACACGCGGGAAAACACGCTTATTCCGAGACGAACGTTGGCAAGAAAAGTACGGATCTGGACACATTCGAGAACAAAAAGATTTACAATCGTCTATAAAATCTCGATAATATGTCACGTATAAATTTTACTCGATCTTTTGTATATCATTTCTAAAGAAATCAAAGTGTCTTATGTATCCTGTGAGTTTAATATATCCTCTACGTATGTAATTATATGTCGTTCGATTTAAGAAGTGCGAATAACACACGCGAAAGATAAGGCTCTCGATGCTGAAATAGCGTCATCATAATGTGAATTCATCTAAGATAAACAATGATCCCATAAGTTACGGAATTGATACAAAATAAACAATAATCTTGTCATTCATTTGATTAGATCATTCGATTGAACGAATCTTGATATTAAACTATTAATGTTTTTAGTACATAAATCGAAACATGCTTCTATCTAAAACTATTTCTGCAAACATTAATTAAAGCTAATTGTTTACAATTAATTTTTTTAATTATTTCTAAACCTTTATGTCTATCTTTTCTATTTCTTTATTTTTACTTTTTACAGAAAAGAGAAATCTTTTGGTGTAGATTTCACATATTCTGGAAGAAATACAAAGCTAAAACACGTGTAGCTAATTCAGTGATAACGACAGGAATTTTCAACGTATTTCTCTATTATTACGAAGCTTTGGAGGATCGTTATTGCTCTTTTCTTCCTTTTTTTTATCTTTATGTCAGGCATAATAAATTATTTGCGTCTCGGTCATTGTCTGGTAGAAAGTATGCGAAGGAAGAGAGGACGGAGGGAGTCGTCCCTGAGCTTTTCAGTCCGACGTAAATTACAAGCAATAGATATATCTTAACCGGTCCGTGGCGTCGCTTATTTATGGACATCGCTTATTGAATGCATTGCCGATGCACGGAGTGCATTACACGTCGCATCAACCGCGCGAGTTCGCGGATCGCGCGTGACGAATCGATGGGTCGTCTCGTGTTGCGCATTCTGGCAATACACAAGATTTGCGATGCGAGGATAGTGTTCAAATTCCGCATTTTATTCCATATTCTATTCCCCCTTTTATTTTTGCACGTAATAATATATATAATATAATTCTGTCGTATTTATTTTTTAACGTGACACTTTGGCTGCTTAAAATCGTGCAAAATTCATTTAAATTTTTAATTTTCTTATGGCTCTTGCATTGAAATGATATAAGGAAGTACTCTTCTGAGATGTTGCGTCTTTTCCATTTGGATATATGTGCTGTCTCAGCTTATATTCGACTTTGCTTTTTTTTTCATTCATTGAATTCGTGAAGCGTAGTATTATTTCGTGCATTATATTTGCGTTGCTCGAGAGTTCTTGTATGTAGAATACTATTTTCTATTTCAATATCAAGGAACAATCTTCCGTCTTCTTTTATCTGGCCACGTGCTTACCACCAATCCGAGTTTGTTTAGCTCGCTTCTCGAAGTGTCAACGAGAGGCGGGTGGCTGACAGTCATTTCGCAGTGGGCGCCACGCATAGCCCGGTTACTGTCAGAGCCTCGATTTCCGCCCAGACGAAAGCGAAGCGTCGACGGAGCCGCGGCGACAGTGATTACCTGTTTATTATGCCGGGCGACGACTGATTCGATCCCAGCGCGTGCGAGCTATTTTAAATAAGGGTCGCGCGCGGTCTCTCGTTAAAGAACAACAAATATCAGACGCATTTGGCGCTTTTTCACGCGGGGCAAATCAACCGTGGACGTTTACGATCCTGTTTGGACTTCGTCAAGTTTTTCTCTCACGAAGAGTGCTTATGACATTAGCATTGTTTGAACTTCAAACTCGCTTTTGAAGAGAAAGAAATATTTATAATGCTATATACAATATAATGTATATAATTAATAATCACATTTGTTCCTAAGGAGACGATTAAATTTATGATAAAGGATGTGTAAAATAACAGCCCTGTGTCTAATTAAAATCACCCTCAGCTGCCATCTGCTTTCCGATTGTTCCGTGTTTAAGAGCGGATCACAACACGTTTCTTACTATGTTTGATCAGTATGCATTTTGCGCGGTCCAGCATTTCTTCGAGGACCGCGCGTCCTTCTTCCCACGAAGGGCACCGTGAGCGCATTTAAACGTTTTTCTGCGCGATGCTCGATCGATCGAGACGCGAATTCTTTCACAGGCCGGACTCGCGCGGCAGCTTGATTTATATATACATAGGGTGTATCAAAAGTCGGTCGCTTTCACCAAATTACAATCTATAAAACCAAAGAGCCGGCTCATAAAGAATATCGATATTGTCCATGTTAAGCTGTTAATAACTTCTGATTATAAGTGACTAACATTATAAATAATTTCGAATATAAAGAAGTTACGAAATTGTTCCAATTATTTGCATCTCAGTTATTAAAGTACTTATGATTAAAATTAAAAAGTTGTCTGGAGAAGCTGATGTCTCATCACGTACACATCTCTTTTACAGAAAAATCAAAATTTAAATTCATCCAAGAATCTACACCAAACTCCGATACACCCTATATACATACGACGACGAGCTACCGTTGATCGAAACTGCTGAACCAGTTTCGTCTTTCGTGCTAATCCACCTTCGTCGCTTCTCATTCTCTCGCGCTACCTGTTCTCTCCTGAAAGCGCGCTTTTTTGCACGCGAAATCGGCATTTCGCATTGACAATCACCGTTTAAATCGTAACGCCATGGGTTACACCAAATTTTGCTAACAATTCCTGGAATAATATAAATCATTTAATTACATTTTATTTAATGTTATTTGATATTCTTACCAGAAATGATTTTAATAAGGCATAATTTTTATTTAGCATGAATCAAAATATAAATCAAACAAAGTTTAAAATTACATTCTTTATAACATTAATATGAAATGGCAAATGACGGGTTAGAAAAGCATGTAACAAAATATGTTCCAAATATAATAAGACAAGTAAAATATTTACAAATTATTGACTATAAATTGAAACTTCATTTAATAAAAATTTTCCTCTTTCAGATTGCACGATCACCTGTCGCGTTGTAAACCGGATAGGACAAATGCAATCGCGGCAGATGACGATGCGCATTATCGTTCGCGGTATTGCCGCGTAATTAAAATTTATTCCCGCGATATGGCTCGATATATGCGTACATAGCTTGTGCGTTACATTATTACTTCCATGTAATACGCGACACGCACGATAACGATGCGCGCGCTCGCCAAAACGAATGCACAGGGTCTCATTAAGCGAATTTACCAGCGATCGCGTTGCATTAAGCTCTTTGCATTAGTCGAGACCGGAGTTAGCTCGACCGCCGTTGAACATGGCTGCATATAAATTGATAATATCATGAAAGCGCGCGCACTATGCGCGCTTTAACGTCCATGTCAAGGATATATATATATATATATATATATATATATATATATATATATATATATATATGATCAGAATCTTTCGAGGACAAGAGAAACATCAAGTACTGCTGGATCACGGGAGTTATTTTACTCGAAAACTCTCTTCATTAACACGAACCCTGTTTGAAAACATTCTTAACGCTTCACGTCTGTCTATAGAAAGATTCACATTTCAGACATTGACTGATCGTAACCCTTTCTGGAATGTGAACAAAACTTTGAAGAATTGTCCAAAGTGAATGAACCTTAATGGTTGCAGACTGGAACCGCTTCGGTGGATTTTAAAGGACTCTTTAATAAATACTTTTAACTTTGTACGTCTTCCTATTTTATCTTGTTTCTTGAAATTTTTTTTCTTCTTTTCTTACTTAATTTTTCTTCGTGAAATTTATATTCTTTATGTTTCATTGTATTCCTTCATTTCAGTTTCATAAAATATTTGCTGCAAACGAGACTATTTTATAGCCCTTATAATAAATTTTCCTTGAATGAATTGTGAAAAATATCAAAAATGATATAATGTCGGTTTACATTTCCAGGGGTATTGCGAAAGCGGACGAACCCAACAATTTCTTGCCAGTGTCACCGACTTCCATGCTGGATTCATCGGTCTATGGGAATTTGAGAAGAAAACAGAAAAAGCTCATTAGAGATAATCCTGGAGTACTTCAGGCAATATCCAGGGGTGCGAATCAAGCTGTCGCCGAGTGCCAATATCAGTTTCGCAATCGGCGATGGAACTGCTCGACAAAGAATTTTCTTCGAGGAAAAAATCTCTTCGGGAAGATCGTCGATAAAGGTAAGTAATTAATCGAGTTTAATAATCTTATACGTGTAATCTCACGAAGAATTTTGAACAGCAATGAAAACTATTATTATGAAAATATTATATCCATCGATAATTATTATTCAATATAATTATTACTTAATGCACGACTTAATTAAAAATTTTGTTTCACTCTCTCTATCAATTTTCTCAAAGGGGTATTTAAATTTCCATCAAAATAAAGTTTACTGAAAAATAATAAGAAATAAATGTCTTCATCTAATGCTTTTCAAAAAATCGAAAAAATAAAAAGACATATAAATAATAAAAAGATGTATTTTATATTTTAAAGGATCGTTTATTGTACCACATTATCCCCCCGAACCGGTACTCTCGATAGAGATTTATTGGAGACAAGTTTCAATGCGATAGAAATGAAAGAGGAAAAAGGAATGAAAGAGAAAGAGGGCTCCTTAAGATTGCGAGTGACAAATCTGTCGATTTGCTTAAGTCAACACAGACTCTCGATACGTCTCGTAACACTTGGTAAATTAAGTAATAAGGTCGTCATCTCGTCATCGCAATGCGTCATCGCAATAATCGCCGAGTGAACGATACCTTCGAGATAAGCTATGGATTCAGCGGATGTAGAGTCAATTTAAAACGACATCATTGGTCTCTTATCTGGTTGAAAAGCGTGTTACTTCGAATGGATCATATTTCTTCTCTTTACATTAGTTATCTCGATTATATACACAATCAAACGATAAATATCTTATGAATTAATTTATTAAATTTATAGATTTGTATAAAATATAATTGAATATGTAATATATAAGTTATAATGCAAATTGTATAAAAAAGAATTTAAATATAAATCTAAAATTATATTTGTTAAATAAAGCAAAATAAAAATATTCTCTCTACAATTATGTAATGATCTTTCAAGATTTAATTTGCTATATCCATAAATATTTAAAAAATTAAGATTATCAGAAGTTATTCACTGTTTTTCAGTAATAATATACTGATTTCATTTCAGAGGTACATAAAATTTATATAAAATACTTTTAATGCAATATATAAAATGCTCTTAATCCTAATAGACAATTACACACATACATTCGTAAAGTATAAATATTATTCTATTACCATTAAAGAGACCGTGATCAGGCACCCGCGGTGCTTTCGACAAGGCGCATTAACACCTCATTCGAGTGCGAACGATCGCGTAGATCGAGTGCATGGGGCACGAAGGCTCCAAGTCGTCGTGGGGTTAGAAGGGCGAAGGTACATAGGCGATGATGCGAGAAGGAGAGGAGAAGGGGCCAGGGGGTCTTGGAGGGCGTGCCCTACGTCCGAGGGCCCCGGGCACGTGCCCTCACCGACCAGATGTATGTTTTGCAACCTGATAATGGACCTTCTCGTACCAGTTCTGGCTCCCCTGCGGCTCTTTTAGATCTCGTCGAGGCGATTGTAAGCCGAGCTTTTTCGCTCGAGCCGCTCCCACCCCATTATGTCGAATGTCCCCATATGGCCACTTAGTAAAACTAAAAGAAGTACACGTCGCGAAGGGAGGGATAAGGGGAAGAGGGGCAAGGAAGCTAGGAGAAAGGGTAGAGAGCGAGAGATTTTTGCGTGTTATTTTCACGAGCCTGTGTATCGAGATACGTTTCGTTGCAATGTTGCAACACGAGACGATTGAAACTAATGCAGATTGGCGATTATATAACGTATGCATCTGTGACTAATACTAATATCTATTTGCAGAGAGATTCGTATCTTTCGTACTAATGCTCTATCCCTCCTTTTTTATTTCTGATTCACCCTCCAGCGTGATTTTATTCTCGCTATTGCTTCGGAGCATTTGTCGCACACCAGCAATATACATAGAAATTAAATATTCGTACTATCTAAAGATATTTTGAAATATATTTTAAAATATATTTTGAAATATATTTTGATATATATTCTTAAATATATTTTCAAAAATATAATATATATCGCGAAATTCATGATCTAAGTTACTATAAGCTACCTTATTTTATTTGAATGTCCTTTATAAAATATTACGAAATGCCATATTTATGAAATCTACGTTCGTTAAGTTTTTACCCAATTATGAGGTTTCTACGAAAGCGTTTAATATATTCAGTTTTGACGTACATAATGCAACATGTATAATGCATATCCGATTTTTGCATACGCGTCAGAGATATCACGTCCAAATTACGTGTACTTCTTGTGCGTTATTACTATACTTTATAGCCATTAAGGAACAGAGAGACGCGATGCAATAGCCATTAGAAATTCCGCAAGTTGAACGGTTGTCACGGTAACGTACGGCATTTATATGACACCTGTAAGCGAAAAGCGAGAGCGTCATGTGGTATCCATAACGCTTGACGTGTTAATCAAGCTCCGAGAAAGCCACTGATGGATAATAACGCCGGTAGGGACGAGAGAATCCATTTTTACACTCTATGATACATGTTCCGTCAAGACACGATAGAATATTATTACAAATGAATTGTGCGATAAAACATGTCACGCGCTTCAGAAGAGAGCTTCGTAATGTCATTCCTGTCAAAATTAAATTAAACCATCCTGACGTGTTGATATAATACGCAGTAGAAAGCTTGTATCACAAAATAATTAACGAATAAATAAAATTCACGTAAGTGACAAATTCATAAATACGTCGGGGAAAATAATATTCTTGCTTGCAACATGCGCATATATAAAATACACTTTCGTAGACACGCAAGATGTGTGGCAAGTGATTGATTATTTTTGCACATAAAATTAATAAACAAAATTTGTAATTGCTTCTTAATAAATTATCGCGATTGGAGTTGGATACAAACTCTGTCCTCCTCGTTTTCCGTAATAAGCTGCAGGATCTCTCGTAGCTTCTACGAGAGACCGGACTCTCGACCTTTCACCTCTCGTCTTCATCGCCTCGTGTGAGCGCGGACCAGTTTCTTCCGCTCTTCTCGCTGCCGCTCTCGCTTCTCATATCTCCTTTGTCCTCGTATAGATCCTCGAGATTTGATCTTTGCCGAGCTCTCACACAGGGGAAACGCAGATTACTATCAGCGAGCAGTAATGCGCTCTCGTACTTGTCGCAAGAATAAAGAGAGATCAGAGGGGGATCCGGAAAGAACTCGCAGTCGAACACCGGCTTAAACGGTCGTTTCCGGATTAGCACCACGTTCTAATGTAACATCAAACTGTCGGCGGTCATGCCGGAAATATAACTCGTGAAAGTGTGGAATAGGGATATATAAATTTTCAAGCTGTAGAAAGAACACGAGTTTCGCAATCGGTTGGTTCCGCATTCACGTCACCGGCTACGTCGTGACGTTTCATCGCGGGTATCCATTGCGCTAGAAATAGAAAATCACATAGAGATTCCCGTCTCGTGTTACAAGATTTTTATCGCGCTTATTGCGAAAGAAATGCCTATGTACATTTTGAATATATTAAATATTCGTCGTGTCTGAGGAATAAAAGATATTCTGTATACGGATAGATTAGTTTCTTCGCGTTTTTGCGCGGATATATTATTAAGTATAGGCCAAGTTATCAATCTACGCTGGAATGTCTAATAACATGAGTAAGATATCCTTAATATATTCATATGTCTGCGCGGAACGCATAATTAGCGATTCGATAAAAATCGCGAATGTTAATTAATATGTATGATCCGAAACTTTTGTGTCGACACAACTAACACGAATCGGACGTTTACATTTAAATGTCGTACGCAATCATTGTGCTGATGTAAATGATACTCGACAGGATTAGTATCGAATCAAGGAGGGATACTTTCCCGATTCGGAGACTCGATGGATACTTTTGGCTGCGTTTGTACTCAATATTATAGCTGGTAGTGAATGCGTTCGCGGCCTGTAATCATTTCGCCGCCAAGAGCCACCTACCGCATTGGTACCCTCGCCTTCCATCCTCGTTCTCCATCTCGTTTCTTCTCTTCTCTTGCTCCTTTCTCGCGCGTCTCTTCCTCTCGCCTTCTGCATCTTCCTTTTCCTCGACACACACTATAGCTCGCAAAAGCAAGTCCCACAGCCTAATTGCTCGGTAAACTGCGAACTTCGCGAGACCCCGCTGCATCGGACGCGCAATGCCGTCTTTTTCTCCGCCAGATTACATCTGACGGTCGCAACCAAAATTATCCAGCAAAAAAAAGCTGCATCATCGATAACGAATGAGCCCGTGTAAGTTAATTTAATGAGGAAGAATAGAATTAATATTGAAAAATATAGATCTCTCGTTGAATTTTTGAGATGCCTTGACAAAGGAATGTGAAATTTCTAATACAAGAATAGTTTCAATTAATCAGCGTAATATGCGAATAATTATGGTTTATAATCATCTCTTTCTCCATCTTCTTCATTTTTATTCTATATTCTACATCAATAAGGGACAAATAATCAGCGAAAGAAGTCCTGCAATTAGTTATAGGCTTGTACGAGTATATCCTATTCCACGAGATGACATTGCGATTTGCACATTTCATCTTCATGATTTCATAAATCGAGTTTCAATGCAAGATAAACTGCAAGGAAAGGCATAAAGAATTTCCACAATACAAATTCGTAACAAATTTCAATCTCTTTTTACCGCTTCTGATTATATTCCACAGACAGTTACACCGGTTAGAATCGTAGATTACATTTTCCTATGAATCAATAAATCCACATACATAATCCCATTTCCGATCATTCTCTGGCTTTCAACTTTTCTAATCTTATCTTTATCAGTGACATGTTCGTCCGGACGAGGCTCGGATATTTTCACCACGAATATCGACGTAATCCGACCGTTTGCAGAATAAATTCAATCGATACCTGTCCAGTGCACGAGGCGCAGGACACCGTCTTATATGGCGCGTCACCAGACGTTTTTGCGGCGTTACGCCGCCATAAATCGCGGCCTATGATGGGCTACATGTGTCGACGGCACGCCACGGTTTCTTGCGAAAACGTGAGCCGCGACCCAATGGGTCCCCCTGTGATTTTTACATCTTGTTTGCTTCCAAGCGGTGCCCCACAAGCCCGCGGGTCTATATGGCGCTCCGTGTTACTTCGCGGTCTTCGAGTTCCTCAAGACTGTCCTGCCTGTTCTCGGTTTCTCTTTTTGTCTCGTCTTATTTTCGCCGAATATCGTCAACGACATCAAAAGTAAAATATAAGCGAGGGAACTATTTTAAATGTCTGTGTTGGATTTTTTTAACATTTATATAATTTCGCACAGCCGTTAATTTAATATATTTGGGGATTAGATAATATTTTAATATATTTGGGTTAGAGAGAGATAGATTAGAGAGAGATAATATGTACGTGTGTAATTTAATTTAACTAATCTCCATGCATATCCTTAAAATAACAAACGTGTATAAAAATATTATATATATGAATATTAAAAAAACTCAACGAGCATTTAAAATATGAATATAAAATTAAAATGTATATATGTGCATATAATAACTATAATAAATGATTATAATAATTTCATTTATAAAGTCGGAACGTATCTTTATGGTTGCATAATGCTTATCATCCTTGAACAAACAACTTAATTTTCTGTGCGTCCATTAAGAATAATAGCCATTTTATAGCCATTCTTTCAAATTCGCATTTTTTTTTACGTTGACATCTTGAGTTGCTGTGAAATGACAATCTCTGTCACAGTGCAAGTAATAAATTCATCTTTCCATTCTTCATAAACGTTCGTAATGAATCATTGTAAGCGATTTTCAGCGTACAGCCTATTATTTGACATTACAGGCTATCATCTTATGTCTAATGGCTGTATTACGACACATCGACATAAATCATCACGTCGCCGATATCACGTTATAGAAGACCACCATCGCCAGTACATTGTTTTAAATTCCACGCGTAGGTGGTTGCACCATAACTCGTTCCATGTCTTGTGACAGGAACTCGGACCGCGCGCGACAGTAGCAATAATTCCTAACGATTTTATCTCCATGGAATTTCAGCCGAGACGCAAATGTCCCTCGTAAAGATGCGCGACGATGTCGCTTAAGACAATCTTGAGAACGACAGTCGAAACGAGATCGCGGATATTGCTCTATATATTGCATTGAGACTGAGACGTCAACCGTTTTTTTTTCACGAGCTATAAATCCCATTTTCAAATCCCATTTTCAATTAAATTTTTACCAAATTAAATTTATCAGATAATCTATGATTTGAAAAGTATACATTTGATATACTTTCTCTCTGTATTAGATTAACAATTGTAGTTATATGTATTACATGTTTTCGCAGAAATTTAATTTTCTCATAATAATTTAACAATAAACAATTAATGCTGTTTCATCGTTTATGTCATTTGAATGTTTATCAAATCTGAAATAATAATCAAGAAAAATTCGATTCATATAATTTGGAGTAATTAATGTCAAGTTACGATTGCATGAAATTTTCAATAAAATTAACAAAGAAAATGAATAATTACAACCGAAAATATTTAGGCATGCATATTTCTGCAGAAATTATCTAACTTGTGTTAATCTTTTATGAAAGTTTCGAAATACCGCGCGTTTCGAACCCGAAATATTCGAAATCCGTCCGCTGTCCCAAATATTGCCGCCTATTGTCAGGGACAGATTCCGGACCAATGCTCGAACATGACCAAGAAATTCTCATCAATGTGTGCGCTGGTGTTTACTTTGCGGGCACACTCTGGCTGCGCCTCCAACTTGCTCATGCTATTTGAACGAGTTGATAAAGCCGCCGTCAAACTATTTATCGTACGTGGAACGGCGTATTCGCCGAGGGCAAACAATCGCAGCACCGGAATCATCGCGAGTCGCTTTTCCCTCCGTCTAATACTTTCCTTCGCACCGAATCTCTCCTCGTCGCGCTCCTTATTTATCTCTTCTCCTTGTATTTTATTCTTCTGTGCGCGCGTGTCGATAACGGTCTTCTTTCGCGTCTTCAGAAAACTCGCTTATCTGCGGATGACAATCCGATTGTTTGAAAATCGTAAAATCCGTAAAAGCCAAGAAAAATTGAACGGATTGGTTTCCGCGAACTACGAAGGAGAACTTCTCTCAACAAGGCAACGAGTTTATCGAGGGCGTTCGCCGCCAACGATTAGCCTCATTCTTACAGATATGATTCAGCGAGCACGAGTATTCTATTAATATTTGCCAATATATGATTTCCGTTTATCTACTAAGAAAAAGAAAAAATTAATTTATTATTATTTTGAATAAAGTCCTCTCTCTTCATTTCTTATAATAAAGATAAAATAAATATATTGCCTAAAATATTAAAAAAATTATATTATATTAATAATAGAATATCAAAAATATTCTCTTTCGAACAAGAAAATAGAAAATGTATCGAAACCTACAGAGCGAGAAAAAAAAATAAATGTTATAAGATTTAAAGTATCTCGATAATAATGAGAAATTTCTAAGATTGAGCAATTTTAGTATATTAGCTATATGCGCCATTATTGAAAATTATTAGAAACATGTAACAAATATTTCTTGCATTATGTTCAGGTTAAGTTAACGATTAATCTTCCTCGGCTTTGTACATCTTTTCTTGTCAGATAACAATCTATAACACTTTTCGCTCTCATTGTCAGTTTTCTGAACAAACAACGTGATTTGTCTAGAAGAAGTGACCACGAACAGTATAATTCATGATTCTGTCATGGTAGTTTCTGACATTATGATAAATAATATCTGGAACTGATCGAATTTAGGACGAAGCGAGAGGAAACGAGACGATGTGTAATAGGGTGTAACGGCGTAAATCTCTCCGCTTTTCTTCGTCGTTCTTGCTCTCGCTTCTGCCAACGACGTCTTGTACGGGGATTAAAGAAAATCATCGTCGTTGCTCTTTTCTCACTTTCTTCTCTTTCTCTTTTACGATTTCGTTCTATCTGTTCTCTGTGCTTCGTAGTGGTTCACTCGTGAAAAAGGAAGCTCGAGATGTCACTACAACGAAAAAGACACGTAACGAATTTGGAATTCGTAGCCCGAGTTAATTCGTTACGGATGATCATCTGGTCATCACTATCGTACCGGAAAACATCCCTTGCTTAAGGACGAACGTCTTATTCCGTCTTATTTCGATACGCACGCGCGTCCAATCGGACAAGAAAAGTTTCTCGCCGAGTTCTAATCAGTCACTTTGAAGATTCGAGCTCGATATCAATGATAATTAGAGAAGTCAAGGTATTCATCGCATTTTCCAGCATTTATTAATTTATTATATATTATTATAAGCTATTAAAACGTCGCGAATAATTATCTATTATATTATTAAATCGTATATATAATTCCTGACTGCGTTATTACACATTTAAAACAAAAAAAAAATGAATAAAAAAATGTATACCTTAAAAAGCTAAAGCGCAATATAATATCTTTTTCGCTAATGGGACATTACCTTGGGACGGTGCGAGCTCGCAATTTACGAAATCGTTTCGTCCGCTCTTCCCTCGTGATATCTTCACCGGCACAAAAGGAGCCGGCAAACACCTGCGCCTTATGCAGATAAGGTCGAGGTGCTTCAGGTCAGCCCACTCAGGGTTAAGGTCACGTACCGTCTCCTATCTCTCGCTCTGCCTCTTTCTCTCTGTCGTTCTCCTCGTCCCACGATCCTCCCGTTCTCCCTTCGCTACCTTCCACCTGCGAGGACTTCTCGCGCAGGTAGTCTCCTGCGGAGGATTGAGATGTTGTCTGACGTCATCGCTCACCTCCCACACGACCAAACACCGTGAGCGTCTTGTCCGCGCTCTCGGCGAGTATAAAAGTATTCTTATCGTTTAGTCGAGAGAAGAATAAACGTGCCTACGTCAAGAATATATAGCACTTCTCTGATGGAGACAAAATCATAACTGCCAAGAGTTTTGGTTCGCCAGAAAATTCGCAGAAAAATATAATATATTGTACAACTCGGTATAAATAAAATTAAGAAGAAAAAGACAATAATGTGGCAATAAATTACGATAATATATCATGGATTTTAAAACAACACTTTTCGAGTTCTGTCTCCATTTTTCCCGTTCGCTCAACGGGGAATTTAGTTTCCAGCATGGTACGCGTCATAAATTTCCCGCAATTTTTTTGTAGGTTGTCGAGAGACCGCTTTCATCTATGCCATCACGAGCGCGGCTGTGACTCACAGTATCGCGAGAGCATGCAGCGAGGGCAGCATTCAGTCGTGTTCCTGTGACTATACTCACCAATCACGCACATCATCCGCCGTTCGGGATTGGGAATGGGGTGGTTGCTCGGATAACATCGGATACGGCTTCACGTTCTCCCGCGATTTCGTTGATACCGGCGAACGTGGTCGAAACCTCCGCGAAAAGATGAATCTGCATAACAACGAAGCTGGCAGAACGGTAAGAGAAAGAGAGGACGCATCTTCATCATGTTTTAAAATCATTTTTGTGATATCTGAAAAAATCAAAGAAAAAAATCATTAGAAGAGTTTAAATCATTTTCTTTATTCTTTACTACTTCCTGTTCGAAAAAGAAAGTATTTCTTCCAATTTCAATATTCAAAATTTATAATATATTATATTTTTTCTATTTTATCACGTTTTCAAATTTGTCGAAATTGTGTTTAATTGGTATGAAACAACCAGACGCGAAAAAGAGATGTGAGAAAATATCGCGAATATTCAAATATTTAAATCGACGAGAAAAATTACAGGGTGTCGTGTCCGTTTTATTACAGCACGTGTCTTCGGAAATGCGTCAGGAGTGCAAGTGTCACGGTATGTCTGGCTCGTGTACAGTGAAAACTTGCTGGATGCGGCTGCCAAGTTTCCGCGTGGTCGGCGATAATCTGAAGGACCGCTTCGACGGGGCCTCCCGAGTAATGGTCAGCAATTCGGATCGCGTGCGCAGTAACGCTAATTTGGCTAACTCCGTGCATCAGCATCGCGACGGTCTTTCACGCCGGCAGCGCTACAACTTGCAGCTAAAGCCATACAATCCGGAGCACAAACCCCCTGGGCCGAAAGACCTCGTCTATCTGGAGCAGTCTCCGGCGTTTTGCGAGAAGAATCCCAAACTCGGTATCCTGGGTACCCATGGGCGACAGTGCAACGAAACCAGTCTAGGTGTTGACGGTTGCGATCTGATGTGCTGCGGCAGAGGCTACAAGACCCAGGAGATGGTGGTGATCGAGAGGTGCGCCTGCATCTTCCACTGGTGCTGCGAGGTCAAGTGTCAGAAGTGCAGGACAACAAAGACGGTACACACATGTCTTTAAAACGGATTCGGTCAACTCGATATAGAGGAAATCTCGATCATTTTGGAGGAGCTTCACGCAGGATTAAATGATCGAACTTCGCTCTGTTTTCGCAAAACCTTGGAGTCAAAGTACGGTATGGCAAAGACAAACGAAACTATTTTTTTCTCTAGCTCGATAGATTCTAATAGCCTCTCTAGCGGACGACTCAAGGTCTGATCCTGCGAAAGATCCCGCCGCGGGACTCGTCGGATGTATCCGAGGTCGTAAAACCCGCGCGAATCCGCGGGGCCTCATCATCTCCAGTATTACGCTCGAAACCACATATATTTATTATGTCGCGTGACGCGTATTAAAGACTGAAATGGTGAACAGCGTTCGCGCGATCGTAGATTCTTAAGATTTTGAGACGGAAAGATTAAGGGATGCATGGAAGCGGTGTGTAAATGTCGGTGCACCGGTACAAGTACCAGTATGATGATCCATCATTACCTATAAGAAAGAAAGATCACTCTGACATCTTAGATGTCACAGTGGTAGAAGAAAATAATTTAAGGCTAATAAGGCTCTTATTAGGCATTTAACCGTCATCCATTTGTATTCAAATTCAATTTATATTTTTCTCTCTTTCTCTTTCTCTCTCTCTCTTTCATTATTGATACATTGATTACAAATTACTTTACTTTAATGTTTGCATAATTGTTATTCTTTTATGATAGAACAAATTATTTATAATATCTATTTATAACTATGATAGATCATTGTCAAAAAGAAGCCTTTAATTATTTTATCCTACTGCATATATATAAAGCCCATGTTTAAAGTGATCGATCTAATGCGAGCGTCGTGTGGTCTCGTAAAGCATTATTTATTCTGAAGGTATTTTTCCTGCGATTTATATTAACTCCTTCGGAGAAATGAACAATCTCGAGTAAATAAAGACGCGTAATTGTACATAAATAGATAATAGCGATATATTTTGCAGTAATTCGAGGCGATTAGCGGCCGTAAGATATTTCTCCTATAAGAAATTTTTGTAAATAAAAAGTAACTTTCGCGCGCGCGATAAAGAAGGCACCCGATTGACGAGAGATGTCTATTGAGTGTGATAAATTATTTTTATATCTTTTTATTCTTTTCTCTTTTTTTCTCATTTCCTTTTCTTCTACCGAAAACCGGGATTTCGAGAATCCCGCAGGCTTAGAGACATCTATCACAAAATGCTGGATAGAAAAACCTACGAATAAGAAAACGGTGATTCCAACATTGTGCATAATAGATGTATTAATTATTATTCGTAATTTATGCAAATAAATATATAAGAGAATTAAATAAACGATGAAATGTTGGAGTTTTTTATTGTATTGCTCTTATATCCCATATCTCTGCTTCTCCTATTAAAATAATATATACTTAAAAAAGTTTTAAATTATTTCAAACATAATCACGTGGCGATTTGACATTTAGCATAATCGATAATTTATTAAACGACATTTGCTTTGCGTTAAAAATTTAATACAAGCGTGTGCAATCACGGTAAAAATTTTTTCGTTTAAAAATAAGAAGAGAATTTAATTAATTACGTAAAAATTTTTAACAATTTTACTTTCTCGTCACGAGAAATATTTGAAAAAGCAGATTGATTTGTGCGTTCACGAAAGACCAACTCCACCTGAGTGCTATTTCTCGATCGTGATGAAATCTATAAGCCGTATCTCGATCTTCGGGCCTCCCTCGACGCGACGCGTTCTGTCGCGGCGCTATACAATATTTTCCCATTACACGATGCGCGCCGCCGTCGACGTATCCTCGCGAAATGTAGTCAACTGGTTCTCCAGCTGGACGACTTCATAACTCCTCAAGCCGAGTGAATGTCGTGGGAGGCCCGTGCCCCGCGCCGAGGACTGGTTTGACTCTCCTCGGCTTCCCTCTTCTCTTCTTCCAATCCCCCTCTTGCTCCCCCTCCTCTTTCTCATCGCGTTCCGTCTTCCTGCATCCTTGCTCTCCGCCGTTTCAGCGTTCGGCGAATACTGCACGCGATGATAACGAACGTAGGAATCCCGCAGGAATCTCCGCGCGGGATAAAAGGACCCTGACCGCATACGAACAGGCATCCGCGCTAATGGTACCAACACTCCATCGCCGACCTACCGGCTTTCTTTCCCCCTCCGTTTCATCCTTTTTTTCCGCGCTCCTTCCCCTGATCTACCTTCCGTTGCAGCTTCCTCTTTCTCGCGTATCTACAGACCATCGGCTCTTTTCTCTCTTATCCACCATCTGCAGATGGTAGGTATTGTTCTGAGAGAGATCCGTATATATTAATGTATTCCATAATGTATTCCAAGATCATTTAGATATTGACTAATTGATATATCAAGTTATATCGAGTTTATTTTTATCCTTCTTTCATTACATCACCTGTTGAGATGTTATAATAAATTAGTATAGATTAAAAGCGTGATTTCAGATGAAGTATAATTTTCACATCATATGAAGAATGATTTATAATTTATATGCTAGTAGTTTGCTTAATAGAATATGTCTATCACTTTATGATCTAATCTCAAATTTATGTTCTTATCGATTAAGCATCAAGTATCTTTATAAATTATTTTCATATATTATAAATCAAGAGAACAATTAATTGTGCAATTTTTAAAAATAAAATCTTATCTATAATATGTATACAAAACGTTTGTACATTTAATAGTAGAATTATAAATAGACTCAGCATTTACGTCCTTGTTTCATTAGGCAAAGGCCAATCGATTTCCGCTATCGAATTATACCGAAATTGTTCGTTACAGTTGAGATCCGCAGCCGAGCAATACAGCTCAGGAGGATAAAAATACAGATGGGAGGGTGAAGTGTACCGTGATAGTAAAACAAATTCTTGCCACGAGAGAGAGGGACTCTGTCAGCGTCCCGACAGACAAGAATCTCGGGCAGCCGGACCACTTCTCACGGCGGCCCCTTTGATCTTACTTGACCCACCCACCCTCTCGGTCCCCCACCTCGACCAACGGACACCAGCAGCCTCTTTCCAGCCTCTCCCTTCCTCGCCCTCGCGAGTTCGGGTTTTTACCCTGAACCAGCTCGACGTTGAGCGGCAACCCCACCAACCCTCCTTCTCCGCCTTCTCCCTCTTGACCTCCGCGCATTCTCAAAAAGCACGAACGCATCCCGGAGGCGAGACGAGCTGAGGATTCATTCAGTTTTACTATTATTACGCATACCGTCACGCGTGCGGTTCGTCTCAGTCCGCGGAATTTGATCCCGACGATCCTACCGAGACTCTTGGTAGGGATGTCGGCTTAATGAAGCAAACGTCTGGTAGGAGAGTAACCGGATGGATAAATACGCCGTTCAAGGATTCTTCCGCGATTCTTGAGTCCTGATGAACGCAGGAAGCAGCGCGTGCCAATTTCCTCTTCGCAATCCGCGGATTCCATCGATATGCGTGACAAATATTTCTTTTTATTAACAAAAAATTCTAATTTTTGTATCTTAAAGATTTACTTTGTCATAAATTCACTTCCTCTTCAATTCTTTCAGAATATTTTTCTGTAATTTTTTTTTTTTAGAAAGAGAGAATAAAATATGAAAAAATTATTTATTGTTGAAATTAAATCGTTGTATAAATAGATCGTCGCAAAAATTCTTTTGATAATTCCAGCTAATTGGAAATAAAATGTGTCATGGCGTCATCGACACCTTCTATCGGCGCTCCTTTCGCCGCTTTATCGCCATTTCGATCTTTCGCATGGTACCCTCGCCAACGAAGAGAAGAGCGATCTCTGTCTTCGACGATCTGATAGAGGCGACGAAAACATTTAGAGGTTATAAGAGCCCCCGAAACGATAAAATCGGGGCAGCCAGGCGGACGGAACGACACGCGGCGTGTCGTGCACGAACACACGCGCGTGGCATCCTTGATGGCCTCTCCTCTTCACGAGGAGCCACTCCACACGCAGAGGCACTCGATTGTCGTTCCCGTGCTGTGCATTTTGTATTCTTAAAACGCAAGTCGGATACAGGCGCTGATAGTATAAAGACTTTCCTGTTCTGGATCATTATTGTCTGCAAGACTTGTCTAAGAAACCGCCATTTAATCTTTTTCAGGTCCATGATTTCATTAACAACTTGTATAAATTTAAACTGAATATATGCTTTTAAATAACAATGCAATTTATTTTACAATTGTAAATGTGATAAGGAGATGTTATATTATTCCATGTTGCTTTAATTGAAAAGATTAAAATAGAGTAAAGTATCTTCTACATATTATTGTAGTTATTTATTTCCAAGTTTCTATATTGAAAGTTAATATATATTAATTAATATATATTAATATATATTAATTTTTAATTATTTTAATTTTTATATATTCATTTTTATTGATGTGTATTTACAACGTATAATTTAATAATAATAAAAAATTATATATTTATACTTTTATCAATTATATATAATAATCGTTAAGTATTCTATCATATCCGAAAAATACACCATTTCAAATGAACAATTTCAATTGAAAATAAACACTGTAGACATTTAGAGAAAAAATCAAATAAATGTATTATATCTACTGCAGGAAAAACGCGATGAAGAAATCGGAGTAGAATTGTCCGATGAAATTCAGAATTTCGTGTCCCTCGCTCTACGATATCTTTCGCTCTTTTTGAAATGATTCTCGATAAAAAAAAGAATTACGTGCACGTAAATCAACTAATTTATCGTTTTTGCGATTGAGCCAAAGGTGGCCCATCCTACTTGCCGTCATCGTTCTCGTCGTCCATGTCGTCGCCGGGCTACAGGAATGGCTGGAATCCCTTTTGGCGGGACCTGGGGCTCGTCGTCGTGGCCATCCGTGGGAAAGGATATCGGCTAACGTTCAGGACCACACCGTCGAATTATCGGCGTTTTGGCATGTTATAAGACGCATCCCGACGTGGAGCGCGCTTCTCCTACCTCCGTTCTGGCTTCCTTTCGCTCCTTCGATCGTTTCTCCTCCGGTTGTCCACCTCCACGAAACCGGCAAAGGGAATCTCCGGCGGAATCCGCGTCTTCGACGACTGTGGGAACGGAATCGCGGTACGGCCGCTGCCTGGAACCAACGTGTACCAATGTGTCGGTCGACACCCGGATTCCTTTCGTATTCTTTAGCTTCCCTCTCTCTCAACTTTCGAGAGAAGTTCTCTATCTCTTTCTCTGTCTCAATTTCTGTCAGTATCTAATCATCTTCACTTGTCTCCTGTGGTATTCGAAGAATATTTGAAAATATCTGAATTAATGACTACCTGCAGAGAAGATTGCAAGCAAGATGTCAGTACGTTTATTCTTTTTTCTAATTTGATGTGAATAATCACTCTGATATTTTAATATTTAAAAATGCGTCTAGATGTAATGCTGTAAGAAATTGTCTGCATTTTTTCAAACATCTTTTAATTTATAATTTAAAGTCTATTCTTATTCGTAAATTAATTACATGAATATAAATTACAAGACTGAATATTTAAATAATAAAGAAGTAAGAAATGTGTGTGACCAATCGATATTTACTGAGGGAAGCTTAAACAATGATAAATGGATTCGTGAATGAAAGAATTGGCAATATCTTGCACTCAGCACGGCGACAAGATTCAATACAATTCCGGTTTGACCCGTTGGAATCTTGTCGTCATGCTAATTATAAGGATAATTGTCGTGAAAAGAAAAATATATTTTTTTTTTGCAAAACAGCTTTAAATTCAATGAGAATTTAATTTAGGAGAAAAAATGTCAACATGAGAAGACGAATATCTATGAGAAGAAGAATATCTATGAAAAGAGGAATGTATTTTCTTGTCTATGACAAGAAAAATGTCCACCAGAAGAAAAATATATTTTGCCAAGCACGTCTAAAAAGACAACATTCGTTTCTTGTAAAAAACTCAGTGCTATTCTCGCTCTTTCATCCATGACGATCGTAGCAAGTAAGTGAGTCATTGAAGAACCCGAAGAGCACAACGGACCACCCTGGGCGATTCCGTGCATAATCCTTTGGGTACCAGCGGGTAGATTTACGTATCGCGTTCGCTACGGGTCCCGAGGGCAATACATGTTCGTGGATCCTACGAGAGCTTCATTACTTTTTTCTGGCCCGGCGCGGAATGAATGACTTAATTCTCTGAAGATAGAGACAGAGAGTCTGCGACGCGAGGCGGATGGACAGCGGAGAACGTGAAGGTAAGGACGAGGAAGAAGGCAAGGAAGAAGAGGATCAGGACGCGTAATACGTGTCCAGTGGCCGT